GTCCTACCAAGGCATGTAAATGCTCTACAAAAACATTGTGGTAGCCAAGACAAGCAACACACACGCACACATTAGACAAAACACGGTAAACCCACAAAAAGTAGTTTGGTTCTAGCTGTCAACTTTTAACAACTTTTAATTGATATAACATGTTATGATTATGGGTTGCGAACGAACTGGAATTTTGAAGAGTGTGAACAGAAATGTGCTATTCGTTAAAATATGCCGATTTGATGCGTATAATAAACAGCCAATTGGTAAAATTATTAATATGGACAATGTGCTACTTTTATTATTTTATATCTGAGTGCCGATGACTATGGAACACATTAATGAATTTTGTTCTGTACGCAAGTTTATAATTATATCGAATTTCAATTGTTATCGTTATTTTGTGATTCGTCCATACAGAAAGCCGCTTATAGCGCCACCACAGGTCATGTTAGAATCGCACTAAAACGCTCGTTTATGATAGGCAATCATGATGAAAAGCTTCGAGCACATTTCTGTGCAGCGTCTACTGAACATTTCAACCGAAATGAGAGACCCAACGATGTAAGTTTACAATCTTCTGAACGTTTATGAGACCTGTATGTTACATTGTGTTATTGGAATTGTGTTATATTTCTACAGTCATTTATGCAGTGAGATCGTTGCCTCGTAGATACAAATAGTTTCAGTTACTTTCACAGTGTCTGTATTGCTTTTATGTTATATAATTCACTGTGTTTTAAATAAATCTGGCCTAAACCGATGCACTGGAGGGATGATTATTTGAGCATGGTTGACACTAGTATGGGTATATTAGACGCAGTTTGACCCCAGAAGAATTTTAATTAAATTCAACTTAATAATCGTTGTATCGTTACTTGTAATTTGAATTTTCATCATTATAGATAGATAGAAACACTGTATTACTTAGAATTCAATAAAGTTATAATAATAATAATATTACATGCAATTAATTATTGCAATTTCTAGTTCACTGTTAACAACAATTTGTTTTTGTTTTCATTTTCATTTCCCGTAATATAACATTTTACCATAATGTGTGTTGGCAATGTTTCTTTCGTAATGACTCGCATATTAAAGCATTGGCCTAATTTAAGCCAAATCAAAAATAAATTTATTATGATATTGACAAATGTACAGTACATACGTGTCATAATGTCAGTTTACAGAGCATATGTGTTGGCCCTTAGAAATGCAGTTTGATCGAGTGCCGATGCCGGGGTGCCGATAAGTTTGTATTTTTTGGATAACTTATAAAATTACCAATAGAGCATATTCCACAAAACAATTGCCCTCTACGAGACATAATCTCATCTGCAAGCAGTAATTGAACGATGTATCGAGTCCAAGGCAAGAAAGGTCGAGTCCAAGGCTGCGGTGACACCCACGTCGAAAGATGGTTGCATACATACGCATAGTAGCATTATATACGGGTGTCAAACATGACATCGCAGTTGTCATTTGGATCCATGGTGATTGGTAGTATGTCAGTATCTAATAGCAAACTGTGAGCGGTTGTCTGTTTTAAAGGGCCATTCAGCCAATCTGCACAATTTCACGAATCAATCAGAAAAATCCGCCGAAGTAACAAAATCATTCAACCACGACAATGGCTGTCATATTCTCAATTGCGGGTGGCGCTTGTTGAAGTGATGCGTTTTTGTTTCCACTTTGCTGTGTATGGATTATGTTCATTGCGACAGCTATGTGTTGACAGTCAAAGATAACGACTCGTTGGCATCGTTTGAGCTCCGGCAATCAAGCTTTTCAAAACAATAGTGATAATTACGAATGTGACCAATTTGTACTTCACACATTGCAAAACGAGTTATTTAAAAAAATATATACAAAAGACTTCTTTGGGATATTACAGGGTACAAACATATTATGCTATATTGATATCCAATATTAAAAATCATAGACAATTATTAGAGCTCTGTAGCATCGTTCACTTCAATACTTGGTGTAACCACATTGTCTTTTCTTGACAGTGTTATCTCCCTATTGAGTTCACATAGTTGTTTTCGAAAAGTACTGTTTGGTCCAATTTCACGTTTAGCTCTGACAGTTCGCGTTGCTTCTTGTACTGTCATGTCTTGGTACATCATCAAGTATGCAATGGCAGTGCTAGCAGAACGACTGAATCCTTCAACGCAGTGAACCATTACTTTCCCTGATAGTAGACAAATACAAATGTTAGAAAACGTATCTTCAAGATCACATATCGAATGAAGTAGGCAATAATGATTCTATTATTCCATGACTTAGCATAAAAGCAGATGTTTATATTTTGTCAATATTCTGTTTGTAGATGGCATGTGTCTGCAAGTGTCTAATTTGTTACCCAGTTCCCCAAATATAGTTTCAATGTATATATTTAGTCCCCGAATCAGGCGCAGCCTGAAAGGCGGACTATTAATTCTTATTTCAATTTTCCGTCTGACGTCTCTAACATTTTCTCAGAAAACAAGTCTCTGCCGATTATGCACATAATTTTTTTTCCAGATTTGAAAATCATAAGTGGGTCTTTTTCATGATTTTCATCCAAAACTACCTCTCCCTACTGCACTAAGAGAACAACTGAGCATGCTCAGAATAAATAATTAGCTTAGATTGTAATGCTAGGGTTTTTAGTGATGTCATGACCTGGTCATGACCTTGATCTGAATCAGTGACAGATGGGTTGTACCATTACCAATCGCAGTAGAAAATGTAGAGGGGTGTCAGGGCTACATTTTGATGAGAATTATAGTGGTGATACTGAAACAAACCCAGGTCCTGGTAATATACAAAGACCTGAATTAACAAAGAATAATTAAAAAGTGATGTCTAGATATAAAATATATTTGAAATTAAAAGTAACTACACTAATATTTTACTTATTTACTTACTACATTTTAGTATTATATGTATTGTATTGTGTATTTTCTTATTTTATGGTTGTCAATCAATGAAAACTATTTCTAAAGCTGCAATAAATGTATTATTTTTAGTAGTAATAACAATAACATATAATACTATAGTATTTGCTCCGAACATATAATCATTATTCTTGAAAACGAATTTCTTGTCTTACCATTTTCTTTTAGCGCATCGTGAATGAATACGCCAGTTTCCTGCCAAAATGGTTTTAGATTAAATCCCAAGACGTCAGATGCTTTTATACCTTTATACACAATGCCAGTTTCCTACACACACATAATACATAAGTAAATTACATGTATGCGAAGAAAAAGTAATTTGGTATTAACCTCTAACACAAGCTATAACTGTAAGAAAATGGTTGTTGAATATAATGAAGTACCACAGTATACTGTGGAATACTTTATTTTCGCTGGAATTAATTTTCGCTGAAAAGACTTTTTGGGCATTTTGCATGGAATTTGTTTTCACTGATTTTTCATGAGTTTAATGTGAGATATAGGAAAAAAAGTATATTCGCTGGATTTTATTTTCACGGAAACATCCCTTCAGCGAAAATAGCGAAAATAAATTCCAAGCGAAAATAAAGTATTCTACAGTATGCGAGTATATCATGAAAAGTGTTCACATTAACATGCATGCATGCAAAATATAACATAAAAACATTGTCATCCACACACTTATGTATTCAATTATTCAGTATTCAGACGTGACTAAAAACACCATATTGAATGAAATCAAGTCCAAAATAGTGTAGAAGTTATTCCGGATTCCTCAAAAAATATGAGTAACATGCAATCATGAAAACAACTGGAAATCATCTATGAATAATATTGTCATTCCTATAATATGGGTGTGACCATTCTGAGTACTGTATAAATATATTTATTTCTGTTTAACAATTAGTTAATGTTCTAAAAAATAACTGGTTAACAATCTGTCAAACAACTGGGTCTATCATAAAGGCAAATCATTTTTGGTGGTAAACAATATTGTCTTCTTAACATACCTTATAATACGCCTCGTTCGTACTGACGTGCCCAAATCCTTTTCCTTCGGCAGTGTTCAATATATGAGTAATACCTATATGTTTCAGGCCAGCTTTGTTCATTGCTGTACTTCTACGGAATTGAATGAGTTGAAACACCATTTGACAGAATGAACGAATAGTTCCAAAAATTTGTCATTGCCAATTAAAAGCGCAATAATTCTTCTGAATTCTCCAAAAACCGAATATTGACCAGTACTGGGGTAAATATGTGTTTGATTACACTGAATAAACATAAATCGAACGTTGGAGTCGCAGACGCCATTTTTTAAAACAACAACGTGTGCGGAAGAACGAAATCGAGGACGCTGAATTTACATTATTAACTCCGGCTCAATAATGAGTTATATTGATTGCCACGTGACCGAGTTCTGACCAATCAACGTGACGATCTTGCACATGAGATATAATAATTCGTCTTAATTACCCCAAAACAGGTCATTGTACTGATATAATATTTCCGGACAATGACCTGATCAGATTAGAGGATTGTGGTAGTGTATATATTTGTCATTGGATTATAATGTATAAGCTTAGTATATTCAACTGTTATGTGTAACGAGAAAGTCATTGCAATGATGTTAGTAAAATGGTATTATTGACTTAGATTTTCCGTGTGGGATGTGTTTTGGTCATGTCACCACATTGTCATGTGATCTTTATTACTAAACTCTGAGCACGTTAAGCACACGCAATTTGAATGTACTGTCCATTGGATACATAGAGATATTCATATGTTATACTCGTCTTAGACAAAATTACCTTTCGCCAACATAGAGCCCGGGCCAGACTTCATCATAAGCTCTTGAGGGTGCCATCAGCATGCCATTTGCAGGGGCTGTGAGAATAGATCCTAATTCAGAAAGCAAGGAAGCCGTATCTGATGTGTCTCCACTTCTAGCCATGGTTACAGATAAGCGTCGTTGATATGTTGCTTTCCAGGTTACCGGTATATGCAGAAAGTACTGAAATGTAACAGTATAATGGTAGTCATAGTAATAAGTGAAGTATACTCCGGCCATATATGCAAAGACAAGTCATATCACGTCAGCTGGGCAAAGTACAATAATATATTTGTGACCCTGGCATCATGTGTGCGCTGATTGACATGATGAAAACTTGTAATACTGTTCACAAAGGAAATTATTTAACATGGTTACACTGAGTTGGTTCTTCATCCATTGCAATGTATATTAAACGAAACATCAATCCAAACAACACAATGACCCCTGAAGAAAAAGCTCCACAAATGTAGGTGAATGCAATTTACAGTTATTTTTATATCACTTTTCATCAGTATTATGTAGTCAGCCATCTTGATTTTCAAGCAAAGGATTATGGGTAAAGTATGATATCATAGAATCTGTTGTCAGAAATTGAGAAAATGATTTCATCCTACATTTGTGGACCTTTTTCTTCAGGGGTTGCTTAGATTGATGTTTCCTTTAATGTTACGTATACAAGCCTTGTTTGGATAAATATTATAAGACCATTATTATATGCATTACAAATACGCACCAATACTGTATGTAAGTTGTATACGTTACATGATCAATTATTAAAATAATATAATATATTATAAAATCACAAGTCAATGATTTGTAAATTTAATTTGTTCGAGATTACAACACAAAAGAGTCTTTAAATCAGTGTTTATTCGCTATGAAGTATTTGCTTGCAAAAATTGAATACACAAGATACAAAATAGTACATATGGGATTGCAACCTACGAGGAATTACCGAGTGTAGGTTCTATTTGTTCTCTCCATACTTATTAGCTGCTGATGATTGAAAACAGTTCTATATAGAGGCATATCAACAAGTAACACAATTGGAAAA